GCCACAGCTGGACAATCCCTACCCATAACTAACCCCACCCCTGTCCCACCTCTATGCACCCATGCCAACACCACCGCTACCACGTGCCCGTTACCTACTGTTACTGCTCCTCCCAAATCGAGACTGTCGAGAAGAAACACAACTGCTACAGCGACGGAAAAAAGATCGCAGAAAGGAAGATGGCAAAAGAGAAAAGAAAGACTCGCCGCAGCAAAGAGAGCCCAACAACAGCAGCCCGCTGAACCTGCCCCGCCTCCACCCTCCGTTGTCATGATGCAATCGCAGCATTTCCTGCAGCAAGTACTCAGCTAACCCCAGGCAACTGGACGCCCACCTCTTCTCCCCCTACCCAATAGCAGTACCCCCCTCAGCTAGCCGCTAGTTCCCAACCGACCGTCCAGACAAGAAGTTGGTTGCAAACTGCGTCCCAATTGCTCAACCTGCAACAACCTGCGACGTCCTCATCCGCTCAACACACTACTCTTCCTAGACAGGGCACCCGCCCACAGAGCCCCATTGTCATCAGATCTCCATCCCCAGACACACCACCAAGAGCAGTCAACGGCATCAGTTTCCTCCACCGGCCTTACGATGTGGACTGTTCACTCATTGATCCCGATCTCGGCGACAGTTTTGAAGCAGAAGTGGTGCACAATGCACAGATTACTTCCAAATCAGTCTGCAGGAATCTCAATTGTGAGCATGCAGATGCTGCACTCACCATCTATGACCACTAAATTACATGACGAGGAACATTTTTTCGGCCTTGCAGGAAATAGCACAGCAAAATAAGACTGCTGAGACAATCTGCGCTGCTGCAGCTAGGACTTATTGGCATATGGGACGTCGGGCCCGGTTCCCAGCATTTAGATCATGCAAAAAGCAACTTTTTTCTTATTAATTAGACATGTTCTCCTGGCAGATCATCTCCTCCCGCTTAGTTCCTTCTTTGACCCGCATACCCACGACCTCGCTTCTCCCCATCCTCTCTCTCTCTTTCTCTCTTTCTCTCTTTCTCTCTCTCTCTCCCTCTCTCTCTCCCCCTCTCTCTCCCCCTCTCTCTCCCCCATTCTCTTCCTCTCTCCATGAAACCTTCCTCTCTGTATTGATTAGACATGTTCTCCTGGCAGATTAGACATGTTCTCCTGGCAGATCATCTCCTCCCACTTAGTTCCTTCTTTGACCCGCATACGCACGACGTCGTTTTTCCCCGTCTCGCTCTCCCCCTCCCCCTTCCCCCCTCTCGCCTATCCTCTCTCTCTCTCTCTCTCTCTCTCTCTCTCTCTCTCTCTCTCTCTCT